ACTTAATGTTCCGAGCTGCCTGAAGACACCACGAAGCCCAGCGGGTTTTCAGTCTTAAGGAGGCTGCGCACTCTTTCCTGTTTCATTGACAAGCCGTAGGGGGAGGTGAGAAATCATGCTCCTGTGTTCCCGGATTTAGAGCTATCAAGGAAAAGAAGGTTGTGTGTTTTGGAGATGTCTTTAGATGTGTCCCTCTGAAACAATGGCAGTTCCCCCGGAACAAAGGTTGCAGCTGATGGATCTGAGCATTCTCCCTTTTCCTGTCTGATCCAGTATTATTAACTTATTGAACAGTGAATTCGCTTCTGACCCAGCTTACCTATTCCGGAGAGCAGAAAGGAAGTGAGTATTTGCTTTTCCAACAAGGTCATGGGTCACCTGACCGAGTCCTTTAACAAACAGCTGGGAAGCAGACCAGGCTGTGCTGAGTTTATGGGAATCAGCCCCATTCTTGCCTCTTGAAGCCAGCTTCGTGGGAGAGAGCTGACTGGGCTGTGCTGAGTGGAAGGGCGCTTAAAGAGGGTGATATGTACACAATTTGCTTCCCAACTGGCCTCTCTTCTTCAACAAGCCCTGGATGCAGCCGCGGCAGTGTGGGCAAAATAAGAGAAACACTTGAACAACAGTGTGGAAATGGAATTATTGTGACTGTGTTAATATGCTGATTATTAGCCCTGACCCCGCCCCTCCTGGTGGGCAGGAAGTGAACTCAGCAGGTAGAATCATTTAGGAGTGCATCTCACTTTTTTGGTACCCCATCATCAGCCCTCCCAAGGATGAGCTGAGCCATGCCAGCTTCTTAGCACAGGAAATAGCTCAACTTGAAAAACTAAGGTACTGGGATGAAGAAGGAAAGCTCTGGTCTCATCATGTCATCAGGGCAGGGAAGTGCTAGGTATGGGTGACATTCATTTCTCTTTTGGAAAGAGTGCTCTGTCAGTGCCAGGTGATCATGAAGGGACCAGCGGGGCTGCTTTTTGGTGCACGACCATGCTAAATATTTGACTTTGTAAGGTTGACTTGTCCAAGAATTCTGTGGCAGCGAGGCTGCGCTTCGAGCCAAGCTCTCTTTTCAAGGAAATCCAAGGTGCTATTTATTTTGGCATGTAGCCTGTTCTGTGATGAAAAGCGGGGTTTTTATTATTGCGGAATAAAGAAGGGGTTTGAGGAGAACAAAAATGCAGACTCGGGTCTCAGTTTCAGGACTAAGGAAGAGAAGTTTTCTCTCTGTTTTGACTTGAGGTTAAATGAGGTTTGAAAGTGGCATCATAAAAGGAGTCAGTGTGGATGGGAGAGGGCAGGGGTGAAGATGTGCAGGAGTTGGCCTGACCCGAGGAGACCATTTCTAACAAGGTTTAGCTGTATAGGGACCCTTTTTGCTGACACCAACTGCCTCAGTGGACTGCACAGGCAGCCTCAGGCTTTTCCTCCTCTCCTAAGTTTTGAAGAACACTTCATTATAAAATATAATGTGTGGGGGTGGGGGGTGGGGGAGGCCTGGCTGGCTCATGCCAAGGTGCCCCCCTGAGAAATCATGCCATGAGACAGACCTGATATAAAGGAAGTTTATCTGGGGAAGGGAGGGGCTGGAGAGGGAGTAGAGGCAGACAGATGGGGCAGAACCATGAGAGCAGAGGAGGAGACAGAGAAAGATAGAAATGGGGGGAGGGAGAGACTGGCCAGGAACAGGGAGAGGGGGCCAACCGGGGTGGCGAGGAGTCCTTTTATATGCAGCCTGCACCTGGCAAAGGGTGAAGGTGGCAGGTGACGGTGTAAGCCACTGCTAGGTCCCTGGGAGGAGCCTGGTGGAATTGCCTGTGAGCCAACACGCTTGCCATCCTGCCCCTAGTTAACGGTAGGCTGGCCACATAGCCTCTGGCTGCCTTAGTGTCCTCATCTATAATTTAGAGTCAGCTCCCATGCTTGCTTGAGTGCCAGTCCTTGGCACCTCTTCATTTCTCTCCACAGGTTCCGTTTGAAGATGGATAGGCTTGTTCCCTCCTTTAGTTATTTAAAAGGCACGCAGTATGTCCAACATGCTTTAAATGTGGAGAGCCGGGGGTCATACAGGGATGCATCTTGTAAGAATTCTGACCTTCAGAAGCCCTGCTGAAAATGAGAGGAGCTGGAAAGATAAAGCTGTGTACTCTCAAAGGATAGAGAATGGAATAAGCTACCGAGAAAGGCTGAGCTGTAACTGGCGATAAGGACAGCAGCAGATGTTAAGGATCTTCGCACTGGGGGTCTGGCCTAGCATTGTGGTTAACAATTGCTGTAGTCAAAGCTGTACATGTTCTAGAGAGCTGCAGGATCCCATGCTAAAGGGGACTCATGACTGACAAGGCTATCCTCATATTCACACTTTGTGTTTGAAGGAGAGTAGCATGTGCTGGTGTGGTATTTACTCTCCACTCATCCAACCATCAAACATCAGCCCAACTCCGAGGAATCTCCCTTAGCCAAACTCCAGGATGTCTACTGTAAGAACCATGGAGAGACTCGGACCCAGCTATGGTGGAGAAGGAAAGGGTGACTTCCTTCATTTCCTTTCTGTGTTTAGAGCCCTTTAGAATGAAAAGCTGTGAAGCACCTCCTCAGAGAGCTGAGTTTCAACTTCATTTAACATCTGTAGCCTTGAAGGGATTAGTTTTAGTGAAATGTAAGTGTGGGGTGGGGGCTTAGGGGACCTAGAGGCCTCCAAAGAGTTTTTCATTCTTAAATCCAGCCTAATGTGCACGGAATGATCCCTAGAAGTCATTTGATCCTGCATCTGATGGACCAAATTCAGAATTCTAGCCAAAGGCAATAACTCTAATGTCCCAGGTGCTACTTAGAGTTTGCAACCACAGGTGATGGTGTTCAGCCTTAGAGAGGTGGAGTCATGAGACCCAAGCTGTCCTTCCTTCTCCAGACCTACAGGCTTTTCAGGAATTGAGTAGAGAAGGAAGAAGTATTGGCCAGGAACATTCCCCTCCCAAGAAGAGCAAGGGGCAGTCATGACTGTGAACTGGGCTGGCCTACTGAAGGGCAAGTGTTTACAGCCACTACCTCTAGCCTCTAGATAGCTAGGCCAGAGCCCCTGTTACATGCCAACACCTGCTTGTTACGCGTACCTTCACTCTTCGCCTCAGTTTCCCCACCTGAGCAATGAGCATAGTAATCCTATCTGGGTTAAGGTAAGACGTGTATGAGACAATTCAAGTACGTTACATGCTTCCAACCCGACTTGTAGCTTGGTAATGTTACAGGATGCTGGGAGCAGGAAGCAGAGTAAAGAAAGGTTAAGATGATAGGGGGCCAAAATGACTTCCCAAGCTTGACTTGACACACGTGTCCAACTCTCCCCTGCTTTCCATTTCACCCCAGAGGCTGCAGATTTGGGGTCATGGGAGAGGCAGGGGAGTCCTCTGCCTAGGAGTCTCCTCCTCACCACAGAGCCAGCCCTCCGTCATCCAGGTTAGAACTCTCTGTGCTTTTCCACTGGTCTCCTTCCAGGCCACCCCAAGATCCAACAACTCTGTGGTCTTTGTTATTCCTGACTTGTCTGCTCCAGCTCTATTTTCTACCAGAATCAAGCACTTGCTGGTCAAGTAACCTGTTAACTCCAAACTAAGTGTGATTGTCAGCGTCAGAATTCTTGCAGGAGCATCTCTGCATCTACAAAATACACATGCCCTTTGAGGCTCCGCAGGTGTTGGAAAGGCCCTGTGACTGGTGTGTGGAGGCTGTGTGAGAGAAAGTCACAAGCTGGGAGGCACTATGCTCCCAGGGTTCATGCCACATATAGTATCAGGCAGTCCTGAATTTCCCTCTTACCTGGCAGGCAATAATGTCACCAGTTCTCCCATGCCCACCCTTGATGTGTGTTCCGGGAGTGTCACTCCTCATTCCTAGACCCTCATCATTAGCCCACTGTTCTCTGTTCTGGCTCTTGTCAGGCACATTAAAATTCATATAACAGCTCTACTTCCACTGCTGTGGATAATTCATCATTCTGATGTAAATTGACTGATAATCAGAAAAAGCCAGTTCTGGGTGGTTTATTGTAATGGAAAAGGAGATAGAGAGAGTTCTGGGAATGGATTAAAACGTTGAGGACTGGTGGTCAAATCTTAAATTTGACTAATTCAGAGTAAGGACAGCATTCCATTGGGAAGTTCTTGATGTCTTCTGGCCAAATGGGTTGCACTTCCCCTCGTCGCCATGGTTATAGACCACCCCTCTGTATCAGCCCCTGTTGCCATGTCTATAAACCACCCACCATTTCAGCTCCTCATCGAAGAAGTTATATACCTCCCTCCACATCAGCTGCTCGTCGCCATGATTATAAACCACATTTCCGTATCAGCCCCTTGTCACCATGGTTATAGCACCCCCCCATATCAGCTTCTTGTCAGTCTTGACATTGTCTCGTTTTTGTCTCAAATTTGATTGGAATGCCTCAAATCACCTCAAATCCATCACAGGATGGATTCCACTCTCTTACCAGGTCAGGGAAAGAACCAGACATTCTAGGCTCCTTTTAGCCCCATCAGTGGTCTGCTGAAAAGCCTCCCAGAAAACAGTTCACCTAGGCCAGGCAGTGGTGGCGCACGCCTTTAATCCCAGCATTTGGGAGGCAGAGGCAGGCGGATTTCTGAGTTTGAGGCCAGCCTGGTCTACAGAGTGAGTTCCAGGACAGCCAGGACTACACAGAGAAACCCTGTCTCGAAAAACAAAAAACAAAACAAAAAAAATTCACCTAGCCTCAGTTGCTTCATTTGCCAAATGAGGGCTTGGGCTAAGTGCCTCCTTTAGTGTCAGCTACCGCTCGCGTTCCATGAAGACACTCAAATTCCGCTCGGAAATGGGTCTAGCTTTTTACCTCCAACCTTGGACCGCAAGTTTGTGAGCATCTAGGAGAAAGGCCCAGCTGAGTGTTACTTTCTTTAGACTGTCTCCTCGGCTCCAACGTATTCTAGCTTTGGCAGGGCTGACGGTTTCTTTTTCTTTTCTTCCAGAACTCTCCATGAATAGCGCAGACTCCGTGGATGTGGAGGACCTGAGATACTGAGCTTTGTACTCATACAATGGAAGAAAGAGATGGTAGGCAGGGGGTTTTCTGTCCCCTGGTTTAAAGGGTTAGTTGGTTTGAAAAGGGTTAATCACCACTAGTCCCTGAAATGGCTCTGGAGGGGTCTGCAGGAGAACTTCTCCCAACAGGGAGTGCTGGGGGTGCTGGGGGCCCTGGAACACCTACCTCAGCTGTGTACCACAGTGGGTGTAGAGCATGAAAATGCAGTCTTGTGAAGTACAAAGCATCAAACGCATGTGAATTAATATTTTTTCTTCTCATCTCATCCAAGTACCGAGAATGAAATAGGATGCTTGATATCATCACCCTTTTTTTTTTTTTTGAAAACATGAGGAAATAAAAAGTTCTGTGACTTGAACAAAATTTATTATTTCCCGAAAGATTGTGGAAACTGTTGGAGGCAGTATTCTGGTTCAGGCCACTGTGACTGATGTCCCCTGGGCCCATTCGTGTGGCCTCCCAGATGACTGGGCCAGGGCTGGATGGTTTAAAGAGGCCTTGTTTGTGTGTCTGATGGTTGTCTTCTGGGCCATCGGTAATGACTTAACCACATGTCATTCATCATCCAGGAGGATGGGTGGGGCATGGGGCCATATAGATGCAGAAGAGCAAAGCACAAGAAAACAGCCCAAAAAACCTGCCCAAATCTCATCAGGCAGTTATGTTCACATTCCTGTCTAAGTCATGATTGTTGACCCCTAACCCTCAGGCAAAACCAGTCACAAGGACAATCTACGAGAAGAGTTACCCAGTGGTGGTGTAATATTAGGCATTTCCCAAACTATCTGTCATACCTCATGTATAAGCGGTATTAATGCTATCTCCCAGGGCTGGTACAGAAGGAAGCAAGATGGCGCACACAAAATCACTAAGTAGTAACTATCTAGCATAGCAAATATCCCCTCCTAGGAAACATGCTGCAGGCCACAGCTCATCCCAAGCTCCTGACTCCAATGAGATGTCTTTTTCCAGATTACCCAGTTTCAGCAAATGGGAGAGTCTGCAAGCTTTCAGTCACACGACCCTTAAGAGAGGCCCTTGCCAGTGCAGGGCATAGGACTAGATGTCAGCCACAGACAGCACTGCTTCCTGCTTCCCCAGCCCCCTGTATATGCAATATTTCAGGAGCCCGCCACTCCCCACAGAGAGCTGCCCTTCTGCCCTCCCAGGGCACCCCTGCTCTACCGCCTCAGTGTAACTCCTTTTCAGTGACCAACAACTCCTCCACCCAGTAGCTCACGAAGCATGCCCCTCCCTTTGTATCTTGACTTCTTTTATTTTAGACAGGATCTCACTGTGTATCCAGGGCTGGCCTGAACCTGCTCTATAGAACAGACTGACAGAGATCTGTCTGCCTCCTACCTCTACCTCCCGGATTCAAGGCATGAGCTACCGTTCCTGCAACATCTTGGCTTTCCAAAGAAGCTAATATCCCTTCTTTGCAGCTTCTCTTTTGGCCACTTCTTCTTAGTTCTGTTTTTCTTGCTTCCTTCAGAAACTGATGACAGACGTTTGAGCTTCGCTTTCTCTCTTTACCTCTGATTGACTCAGTAACTTGCTGCACCTCACTTAGCCTGTGAGGTAATGACTGCCACTCCCTCCTTTGTTCCTTTCCTATCCACCCCACACTGTGCGTGTGTGTGTGTCTGTGTCTGTCTGTCTGTCTCTATGTATGTATGTATGTATGTATGTATGTATGTATGTATGTATGGTGGCTATGTTTACTGGTCTTTTCCACATGCCTACAACCAACTTTGCTTTTGAAGTGAGAGTTTCCAGTACCTCTGAATCTTCTATAGCTTGCTTTTCTTCTTCCCCCTCCTGATTCATTGTCTGGTTGTTTGGGAGACTTTCACACCCCCACCAAACTCTGATCCTCACAGAGTTAGATAGCCCAGAGAAAGAATTGATAGCCAATCTTCCCCAGACCCATCAGAATCTCCCCATGTCTACCTACCCACAGAATCGAACAGCCAGGCATCATTTTCTCTATTTTACAGAGGGAGAAACTGAAGCATAAAGAAAAAAAAAATGAGATTCTTTTTCCAGAGCCGGACAAGTGGGTTGGTTTATCGGATATAGCTTTCATCTGGAACAGAGATAATTCTACTCACTTCTTGCCTTGAGGCCATCCCTGAACTCCTGCATACCTGTCACCAGGTATAACTAACAAGATCTCAGCATAATCCAAGGTTCAGTCTCATGCATAAGGGCTTGAGCTCCAGCATTACTCTTGCCCTGGGAGAAAAGGCAGGATGCAGAGAGTGGGCGTCGTGGGTGTCATGCAGGGCAACATGAGGATTGCCAAATTAATATGTGAGGATGGGTGTGGGTATGTGTAGGAAGATGCCTCTTAAACAGCTCACCTCTTAAGAAAAGATACATTTGGGTCAGGGAGACGGCTCAGAGTTTGGGAGCACTGGCTGCTCTTCCAGAAGACCCGAGTTCAATTCCCAGCACCCACGTGGCAGCTCAGAACTGTCTGTAACTCACACCCTCACACAGACAAACATGCATGTTGGGGATTGGCAAAACACTAATGCACATGAAATAAAGATAAACAAATTATAAAAATAAAGATATATTTCATTTTTATGTATATGTCCATGTAGGTACATGCTCTGTAGGTGCCCTTGAAGGTCCGCTGGCGTTACAGCCATTTGTGAGCTGTCTGTCAGAAGTGCTGAGAATGGAACTCAGGTCCTCTGGAAGAGCAGCAATCATTTAAGAGATAAATGCTGAGCCATTTTTCTGGACCCATAAACCTTTTACCTTTGACATCTCAGTTCCAGACTCCTTTGGCTCCTCTTGGCTTTCTGTCAGGTCGTAGGAGGGCATCTTGGTTTGTAGGTTGACATGGGCCTGGAACCCCGAGACTGCAGGTGTTCAGCCATGACCCCAGAACCCAGGGCCCTGACATGTGGTCTAATCTCCATTTAACCTCTACAGTCAGTCATGTAAGACACAGGTAGAGGGCATGACTAACAGGCCTCTGCCTCGAGATTTACATATTAATGAGTTATCTAAAGGCTGGGGGGTGTAGATAATTAAATTATTCCTCCCCAGTCCCTCCTCTTTCCCACTCCCTATATAAGCTAGCTCTCCCCTGGCTCTGGGGGGCGCACATTCACATCCAGATCCAACTTTCCCATCATGGATAATAAAGCTACTCCTTGGAAACCCAGTCCATGTGTCTTCTGTGCCTCCGGCCGACAAGCTTCTAGCCTCTGGAACCCTAGACCTTCTTGCATATGTGGGAACCTGTCCGGGACTCTGCCGCTGTGCCCCCACAGGCCGCCTCTGCCACTGTGCTGGCCCCCAGGCTACAGCTTTGAAGGCCGAGAAGTCCCATGCGTGTTTTTTCCCACAGCTTTCAGCCGAAATATTTTACCTTTCAACACCCTGTTTCATACATTATGTTATATATTCATGCACTAGCTAGATCTGCTCCCAGAGGCTGCTGGGAAACTCGGAGCATTTCTACTGCATAGAGGCAATAGACCACTACAGTAAACAATTCAGCCTCTCCTTTAGAAGTTTCTGCTTTGGGTCATGAGTCTCCTCACTTAACTTTGGACAGATATCTCCTCTTGGACTTGATTTGTCCTCTAATCCAGGGTTCTTCTGAATGGACCAACAGGCTTCAGAGAACAACTTGGGAAACTAACAGAAGCAAGATTGAGAATGTTCTCATAACTTTACTTGCAATGTGTCTCCTTGGGAAGTGGGAAAGTTGGGGTGGGTGGGTGTTATATATGTGGATGGGAAGGCATAGTGGTTATGTGGAGATACTTGGGTGCCAGGGGCACACTGCTTCCTTGTCTGTCTGAAGTCTGAAGCCCAGCAGGGACCATGGTGTGACTCAGAAGCCCACTCTGCTCTCTGCTGTGGTTGTGACAAACACCCACAGGACCGTAGATCTATTTAACCATAGTGAGGCAGAGAGTTCCTGTGTCAAGTTGGCTCCATCCCACTCTCTAGGGATGCCTAAGCAGGGAGCCATTGGACAGGCATGTAGCATTGCTGGAAGAAGGAGACATCAGACACAGCCCCAAGTTCTCTCCCTCAGCAATCCCACCCTTCTTAAAGTCTGTCTCTTTCCCTCCAAATTATTTCCTGTTTCTCTCACCTTGATTATATCAACAATCCCTCTACTGGTCCCTGGCTTCTGATGTATCTTTTTTTTTTTTAATCCTTAGCAAGAACATTCATTTTGAGCTGTGTAGAATGATAATCAACTATAATCCCAGGGCTCCAGGGGCTGAGGGAGGTAGAAAAAGTGATAATTCAGGGCCAGCCTGGGCTACACCCTGAGACTTTATCTTAAAGCCAGATGAAACCAAAGCAACTACAAAAATAAAAATAATAAAAATAAATATATCTCTTCTTGAAATTTGTCCAACTCACTTTTTATTTAAAGCTGGTTGGTGAATCCCGTTACCGAGACGGTCGTCACATGGTTCGCATGCATACAGGCTGCTTTATGATCCAACTTTTCTTCACCTTCTCCATTTTGTCTTTCTCTCCTTGCGCTTCCATCCCACACTTTCAGCTGTGGCCATATTAACTTTTATCCATCCCTGGCATGCTGTGTGAGCTCACACCTCTGTCTTTGCTGTTTCTCTGACCTCTACCTAGAGAAAGCCTGTCCCAGCTGTCTGTTTCCTGTCTGTCCCCTCTATACCCCTTCTCCTTCTCCAGATAACTTCTCTGGGAAGCTGCTTGTTTCCTCATATCATGACAGCCTCGGAGATTTATCTCATGGTAGTTCGCTTCCCGACATGTGTGCATTCTGAGAGGCCGTGGTAGAAACTACCAGTCTCCTAACTTTTGAGTTCTCTTAGCACCTTTGTCACCATATTCTTTTGGTCAAAGTATCACAAGCCCACAGAGATTCAAAGACATAAAGAGATAGTTTTTCTCCTTCTTTATGGATTAGCTTGCTTGTCTAATGGGCTGGGGGCCAATGGGAGATAAATTGCTACAAAGTCTTTGTTGCCCTCTTGTTCTGGCAAATTTCTATTTGTTCATATAATATTCCATTTTATGTTACTCTCTTAAAGTCTCTCTCCATTAGCAAGGTAAAGTTTTCCTCTATATACAAGAAGATATGTCCAGAGAAAGGAAAAAGTCGGTCGGTGAAGAAGACCATTGTAGACTGCCCAGCACACCACACTGTTTGCTGCTGCCTTATTTGACCGTGAATCCTTTGAGAGAAGTGGCTGACTCATCCTTGTGTTTCCAGAATATATAGCTCAGCAACTACACATAGGTGCTCAGTATATAGTAGGTGAGGTAAATCGATTGAATTGCTGAAGTTTTATATTTTTGCACTAAAACCCAGCAGTCAATCCCTGTGAATGTGGGCAGGCCCTCCTTTATTCCCAGCGATGAGTCACATATGTTGATTTCCATCTTGGGACCTCAGTTCTTTATATCTGGGTCTTCCACAAAAATAGCAACTATAACACTGAGAATGTTTATCATGCGCCAGGCATGGGACTGAGTATATCATATTCATTACTAATTCATCAGGCCTCACAATAATCTTACATTACCTATTATTATTTTCTATGTTATGGATGATGGGACACAAAGAAGCTGGTGAGTTTCCCAAGGTCATAGAAGTCCCATATTCCCATATTCTTTTCTTTTCTTTTTTTTTTTTTTTTTTTGTTTTTTTTTTGAAACAGGGTTTCTCTGTGCAGCCCTGGCTGTCCTGGAACTCACTCTGTAGACCAGGCTGGCCTCGAACTCAGAAATCTGCCTGCCTCTGCCTCCCAAGTGCTGGGATTAAAGGCATGTGCTACCACCGCCCGGCACCCATATTCTTTTCATTTCTCTGTTTGATTTTTGTTTTTTCTTTTGAGACAAAGTATCACTACATAGCTCAGGGACTTGAACTCCTGTTTCAGCTTTTGATTCCTAAGATTACTGGTGGGCACTACCACAGCCAGCCAGTCTCTGAATTCTTGACTTATGAGCTCAATTTTCTCAAAGCATGTTCTCACAGAGGTAACGAGTGTGCCTGTCATATGAAGAGCATTGGAGGATCAAAGACTATTTAGCCTGGAAAGAAAAAAAGAATCTGTGTGCAAGTCCCAGTGACTTCAGGTAGTCATTAGACTGACAGGTTCCTCATGTCTTCTGTGGGAGTCAGGAGGGAAACTGATGGTGGTTTAAAGGAGAATGTTCTCCCTCCTATGTCTCCCTCCTACCACGGTTCAAGCTTCCCTAAGAGGCCATGGGCCCCACATCTAGGAAGATGTATGTCAGTCCCTTTTAACATTTATGGGCTCTCTTCCCTCGACAATTGTTTCACAGTCCATGAAAAGTGTGGTATTTCCTCACTAGCACAAGATTTGAAAGAGGAACTCACATTGTTATCACATACACAGTTTAGAGGGAAGAAGATTTGGGTACCTGTGAGCGACTGCTCCATTTCTCTTTGGTGTTTAGGTAACCAGAGGCTTAGGCACCCTGGGAGCTTAAATAATGCAGGAATCATAAATTATCAATAGCTTAGCCTTTGCAAGATTTACTGGAACCTATTTGAGGCATCCCAGTTTCTTTTTGAATGCTGAGAAAGTTATCTGTCTCATCTTTCAGAATCTTCCATGTCTGTACCTGCCAGTTGGTACCCTCCTCTGACAAATGGCTGGACTTTAGTTCAGCAGTTACATGATGCAACCTCCCCCCACCAAAAAAAAAAAAAAAAAAACCAGTGTGAGGCAATTTTGTTTTCCTGATCTGCAGGCAGGTTCATAATGACAACAACTAAGGTTTATTGAAAATAAGAAAGTGCAGACGTTGGCTAAATACACATTGATTTGGTAAGATGCTATCCCAGCACAGGCACCGAGTCCATAGGCTCAGCAGCACCCTTCAGAGACTAGAGCGTTGGAGTGAAGTCTCATACGATAACTTGAGGTCAAAGTCACAGATAGCCTCATTTTAACTTTGTGCTTTTTTTCTTTATGTCTTTTATCTCTTAGCCAAGGACCAGTCCCCTCAGGGGGATGAAGAGAAAGAACCTCCAAAGAGCTACCCTTACTCTGTGGAGACCCCGTATGGCTTTCATTTGGACTTGGACTTCCTCAAATATGTGGATGACATTGAAAAAGGACACACCATCAAAAGGATTCCTATCCACAGAAGAGCCAAGCAGGCCAAGTTTAGTACTCTGCCCCGAAACTTCAGCCTTCCCAACAGTGGGGACCGCACCCATGCTGGTCCTCCCCAGTCAAACTGGTCTCCTGTGGTACCCAGAAAGATATCCCTGGGGACCCAGGAGCAATCCCAGTCACTGCCTCTGGGTGATCTCCCCCAGGCCTCAGTGCATGGTAGTGAGCTGAACTACCACAGGAAAGCCCTCTTGGCAAAGGATACCAGGCAGGTAGAGGCTGGTTCTCTGGAGGATGCTGGGAGTGGACGGCCCCAACTGTTGAGAGCATCCAGCATGCCTGCTACGCTGCTGAAAAACCAGGCCCCAGAAGAACCAAGCCTGACCTCAGGCCCTTCCACACTTCTTGCCCTCCCTCTGCTCCAGGATGAAGGCAGTGTCTGTGATGGTACCTTTGACACTGCAGAAGGGCTCTCGGGTTTCCAAGCATCGGCCCAGTCAATGGACAGAGAGTTGGGAGAACTGGAGCCAACAATTCCAGAGCAGGTCTGGGAGGGGGCTGAGGCAGAAGAAGGTGACAACAAGGCATCAGGTCACCTTTCTCAGCCAAGTCCTTCCTCCTCAGTCCAGAATGTCCCCATGGATCTAGAGGAAGTGGAAATTCAGCACCATACTAGAAAAGCAGAGCTGGTGTTAACACCTGGCTCCTCCACTCCCAGCCCGCCCCCTCTGCCATCCCCTATCCCTGAGAATGAGCTCTCCCTGGAGGAAATTGAGCTCAATATCAGTGAGATCCCACCCCCTCCCCCCATAGAAGTGGATGTGAGGAGTGTTGGTATCTGGGTAACAGAGGAAGGCCTGGGCCTGGCAGAGACTGAGGCCAGCAGTATCTCCAGCCTGAAGAATCAGGTCTTGGAGCTTGAGGACAGATTGTCAGGGAGAATAGAAGAGCTTGCCCGGGTCAGAGCTGCCCTTGAGCAGCAGGAAGAGGAGACCAAGGCTAGGGAACAGAGAATTCAAGAACTGGAGTGTACTGTGGCCCATTTAGAAGAAAAGCTTACTCAAGAGAAGGCCACCGATGCTCTGGACCGGACTGATGCCATGGTGAACACTGACCCCCTTCATGAACTCATCCCCAGAGAGTCACATGACAAAAACATTGGGGTCAATTTGCTCAACACTCCAGATCCTGAATGCTGGACATCGAGAGCAGAAAAGAATGGCTTCCCATGGGTCCAAAATAATCACAAGCCAAGCTATCAGAGCCCCGAAGAACCCGTGCTGCCACCCCAACTGTCACTGCCAAGGGGACCTGAGCAGATCCTCGCCTCATCCTTATGCAGCTGCCTCTCCATGGAGCTCCGGATCGAAGAGGAGGTTTCTGAGCAGGAGAGAGGCCCACAGGTGGGAGCTGGGGGCTTGGACAGGGCAGCAGGAGACTCTTCCTGGAGCAGAAGAGAGTTTGCTCCAGTGATCAGGGAGGAGGCCAGCTCAGAACTCCCCGGGGCAGAGCGTCCAGGAAGGCCAGCAAGTTCCCCACAAGATGCCACAATCGGGCAGTATGTGAAGAAGATCCAAGAGCTACTGCATGAACAGTGGAACTGCCTGGAGCATGGGTACCCGGAGCTGGCCAGCGCCATCAAGCAGCCTGCCTCCAAGCTCAGCAGCATCCAGAACCAGCTGCTCAGTTCCCTTAACCTGTTGCTCTCTGCCTACTCAGCTCAGGCCCCAGAGCCAAATGAATCCCCTGCCCCTCCACCCTCCACCCCTCCCCCACCACCAGGTAAATACTCATGCTCACTTCTCCTTTCCACGACAAATTGTAGGGGGTGAGGGGTTTTAATCCTACAAGTACATTTTTTGAAAAAGATTTTAACACCCCCATGGATTCAGGGGGATAAAATCTGATCTATAGAGGCCTTGCTGCTGGATTGTGTCTGGCTGCAGGCCCACCACATACACCTAATTAGATAGCACAGGCCACAGAGAGGTAAGGTGAAAACACCATTTGCCAAGCCATAAGCCTGCAGAACTGAGTCTTCCCCAAGGGCACCTTGTCTGTGATGCATTATGTACAGGCCACGTCTTGGGCAGAGAAAAATACTGCCTGTACACTCCTCCTGGGTGTCCCTTCTTTGCTTCCTGGACTCTACCAATTCCCACGTTCCTTTCGGACTTTGCACATCAGAGGTTCTCTCTAGCTTGAATTTGGAGGAGCATTATAATGAGATCTGAAATCATTCATTTAATATTTGATGCGGGAGAAGATAAGAAAGAGGGAGGGAGGACGTGGTGGAAGGAGGGAGGGCAAAGAAGAGGAAGGGGGTGCTCACATACAGAAATCACTCGTTAGCTGAGCAGGAACGACTAAGTCGTCACACACACTCTCTGCTGTTGAGTAAAGCTGAACTGTATCGGGCCTCACAGAATACAAGCTGGCTTCCTGCCACAGGTCACAAATCTGCTGCTAAACTTTTCTGCTACTTCTGGATTTGCCCGTGGGAAACTGTCTTCCATGCCATCACTTAGCACCAGGTCTGTGACCTGGTTCATGTAGCATGAAAACAGTGTCATCACAAGTGACAACTTGCACGCTATCCAAAGGACTCTTGAGATGTCCTTGAGTAGAGATGAGTATAGAACCTCATCCACAGACCTGAGCTCTCCCATATCATTCTGTGTGCAAGTCTGAGCTCCAGACTCCCCAGCCCTGAGTTAAAGACAATGCCAACACCACACACATGGCTCTGAGAAGTGTTCTAATGACCGCTTTGTCATCCACACAGAGAGAGGGACATCATTCCTAGGTACAGTTCTACAAACATGAGGGCCTCTGGCTAACAGCCCTAAAACATCCGGTCTGCATTATCTGCCCCACCCCCTGCCCTTTCTCCCTTTTCATATACCCAGATCCTCTCAGAGCAATAATCCTAGTTTGAATGCTCTAAGGTGATTCTAACCTGTGATATTGTGTCTGTCTAGAGGTCTCTCCGTCGACCAGCCTTAAATCCATAATGAAAAAGAAAGACTATGGCTTCCGTGCAGGAGGTAATGGGACCAAAAAGAACCTTCAGTTTGTTGGGGTTAACGGTGGGTAAGCATCACTTGTGAAGCTCAGACTGCCTTCCCTGCTACCTAACCCGCTATTGTCCTTAGGATCCCTTCCCTGGGGGACACATCTGTTCCTCATTCTACTGCAGAGACTCAATCTCCATGGCCTGTTAACACTACATATTGGGTTTGCACTTGTCTGACTCCTTGCCAGCTGTGCTGGTCTATTGGAACCTCTACTTGTAGTGTGACTTGTCCTGGTCTCTCCAGGGCCCACCTCCAGGTGGCGTGTGTGGGAGTTCAGGGTCTCTAGGTCCTGTGAGGAAGCTCTCTGACTTGGAACACTACACTGAAACTAGCACAAGCATTGCTGGTTTGTTGAACTTCCAGTTTGATCTTTATTTCCGGTGCTGAGACTTGAACTCAGACACACACTAGGAAGCACTCTGTCTATCACTATAACCCCAAACCCAGTCCACTTTTTTTTCTCTTCCTCTAATGTACTACAAATCAGACCAAAAACAACTAGTCCATTCATACAGAACATGAGCTAAGCCTTCTGTAGGCTAGGTGACCGAGCATCCTAGATACTCATATGCCATCTAACACCAAGAATGCATTCTGAGAAAATCATGCTTTGGGGATTTCATCACTGTTTGAACATCAGAGGACTACACAGTCATCAGTGACATCGCTAAGTAGTATAGTCTGGTGTGTGTGCAGTCTGTAGTTGAACGGTATGTTCTTAAATTGTACCTGACTGCATCCTAAATTGGTCATTTTACAGCTGTTCATTAGAAGACAGCTATATGATAGGGGACAGGGTTTAAAAAAAAAAATCAAGTAAATGCCAGTTGCTGCCTTTAGCTCACAGGTAAGTGAAGAGACAAAGGGAATCTGGTGAGATAGCTCACCAGGTGAGAGTCCTTGCCACCAAGCTTGAGGACCTGAGTTAATCCCCAGGACCCATAGGTGGAAGGAGAGAACTGACTCCCTCAGAGTGTCCCCTGACCTCCATACACACTCTGTGATGTGTGTATGTGTGTGTGGAAGGAGAACTCAAATAAATAAATAAATAAATAAATAATAGATTTAATACAATTGGAAAAAAAAAACAAGAAAGAGGGGCTAGAGAGATGGCCCAGTGTGGTTAAGAGCACTGGCTACTCTTCCAAAGGACCTGAGTTCAATTCCCAGCAACCACGTGACAGCTCACAGCTGTCTGCAACTTGAGTTCCAGGGAATCTGACACCCTCAAACATCAATGCACATAAAATAAAAATAGAAAGAAAGAAGGATGCTACAAACATCTGAATGGTTATATAGCCTAGACTCAGAAGGGTCCTGAGGACTTGGCCACCTTCCTTTTTTTTTGTTTGCTTGCCATGCCCAGAGAGTCTTCTCCTGACCACTCCTCAGTATTTGGAACTCTAGAATCATGATGCTTACAGTGGCTGTATATTAGGGGCACCAAGCTTTGAACATTCTTGATTCCAATCATGGAGACTGGTACAGTCTACATACTGAAAATGCTAAGTAGTCCAACATCCTGGTGTGTAACCAAGGTTAGAAGCTTGTGTTACACACATACACACACACACTTTATTTTTGAGGCAGGATCTTACTGTGTAGTCCAAGATAGCCACACACTCCTGCCTCGGTCCCCTGAGTGTGTATCATCATGCCCAACTGTAACCCATGTTCTACCTGAAGCAAGTCTTCCTCCCTTCAGTCTTGCTAACAGACATTCTATTTGTGGCTATTATCTCACAGAGCCTCTGTGGAGCAGGTCCTGAGGGGTTCACCAGATATAATCTGGGCTGGAGTAAGGGGGCTAACGGACAAAATTTAAAGTGGATATGGGGTCTTTAGACTTGGACTCCTGTCTAGACCTAAGATTAAGATTCCAGAAGTATGTTCTGGTGTTGGCATTGAACCACCGGCCCTGTTCAAGAAGGATGACCCAAACAACCTTTGTCTCTTCCGTAGCTATGAGACCACATCTAGCGAGGAGACCAGTGGGGAGGACAGCTCCCCTGAGGACTTGTCTGACAGTGAGACTGAGAAGAAACAGGATTGCTCAGAGCCCAGGTTGGACAGAGACATGCATCCCAGCTGTGAGGCTGGGCAGGGAGTCCCTGAAGGCACCAGTAACTCAGGCCACACAAGTGAGCATGGGGAGGAAGTCTCTCATCTGAGGGCTGAGAGGTGAGTCACGTGGGTAGGAATGGGGCACATGTTTCTCTAAAGAGGGACAAGGATATATCTCTTCTTTATTTAGTCCCTTTTGTGTGTGTGCACTTTTACCAATCTGTTCAGAAATGTTTGTTGAGATTCTATTTTGTGCCAACTCCTTTGCTGGATAAACAAAATGAATGTGACTCTTGCTTTCATGAGGCAGACCCCCAGTGGGCCAAGTTTTTTTCTATATATAAACCCAGCATTTGTTGGTACTGTGAATAGGACAGAATTGCCGCGTGTTATTTTATGGAATCCCCTCTGCAGTCCTGGAAGGTAGACCTTAGGACAATCCTTGCTGTATAGATGTGGAAACAAAGGCTTTGGCAGATGAGGTGATGCCCCTGAGTAGGTCAAGAATTTGGGCCCAGGGCCTCCTGATTCCCATACAGACTCTTCTGTCATGGAGTTGCTGACAACAGCAGCACAAACTTGCAATTCCACACTTAGACCATCAGGGTCTTTAACCTACAGTCACCTCGGAGTCTTCATACAGGAAGCAAGGATTGCAGCCAAATAGGTTTGATCTAAGGACTGTGTGAGGAAATGCTGTCAAATGCCCAATGTAAACTCTCAATATGTAAAAATATGCCAACCAGAACCACTGATGTCACCTCTGCTGTCCTCAGCCTGGGGGTGGGGGCCATAAGAACAGGGCTGGCTATCAAGCAGGCCCACAGGGCTGCTCTGTTGCAACAGCCCAAAACAACAGAGGATCTTCTCACAGTAATGGCATAAGTGCTTGTCTCCGTGCTACGCTAGTCTCACAGGTTCTCCTTATACTCACTCTATTCCCATGTGTGCTGTCCTTCATGGAGGACTAGCTGGAAGAATCTGCTGGTATGGGTTGGGTCCTTTGGATTTTTCTATGCACCCAGGCAGAACAGCAGCGTTTTCCTTCTTGGCAGGGCAGTAACTATCATTGGGCCTATGCCCCATGTCTTCTTCAACTGCTCCAGTCCCTTCCAAAAGCAACACGAAAAGACAGAGCCTGACCTTCAGAAGCCCTCAGATGTCGAGCCCCAAAAGCTATGAACCGCCATGTTGTTTAGGAGTTTCCTTCGTTGTAGAATAGTCACGCACTTCACGGTGTGAGCTGCTGGATGTGGAGAGTGAAAGCCCTTTCTGTCAGTGCATTGAAACTGATATGAAATCTCTCTACTTTCTTTAGATATAAACCCTCCGAGGAATTTCTTAACGCATGCCAGGCGCTGAGCCAGCACCTGCCGGAAACTGGGGACACCACCAAGCAGCTCCTGGTACTCAGAGTTTTCAGTGTCACACAGAGGTTTCCAATAGGGGGTGACTTTGGTCCCTTACCTAAGGCAGCAGTGTATATGTACACACAGACCCTCTCCTCAGGCATTCCATGCTTTACCCAAAGGCTGTCCCTTCAGGAGATAGGCTAGGTTGAGGAAAGAGTAGGGTTACTACACACAAGCAAACTACCCAAGACAGGTGGTGGTATATGCCTTTAATCCCAGCACTCAGGAGGCAGAGGGAGGTGGATCTGTTGAGTTCTAGGCCAGCCTGGTCTATGGAGCAAGATCCAGGATAGCCAGGGTTATAGAAAGCTAGCATTTTACCAAGTATTTTTAGAAGTCATAACCAAGTGCCTGCCACTAGACTCTGGCATGGCTTAAGCTTCAAAGTGTCTTGCAGTTCACAAAACCATGGGTAAAGTAGGAAAGACACATGGATGTGGCCTGAGTCTTCCTTCCAGTTACTTCAATGCCCAGGGCCTGGTTGAGCCCCTACATTTGATTCTACTGTGCCACTGCTTTGCCTAATGTATATTGATAGGTCAAGAGACCAGAAATAAGAACATACTGCCATTCAATCTTTCCCACCCTTCTGTCCCATGGAGATTTGAACCTGTAATTCCTATGTTCTATTTTTAATCAAGAGCTACCTGGCCTGGGCCAGGAGACAGCTGACAGACCCAAAGTGAAAAATAAAACCTGTAAGCACTTTCAGAGCTCGTTTGCTTCCTCAGCAGAGCAGCCCTGAGATTAAACCAATCACTTCAGCAGTGTTTGTTACCCACCCAGCCCCCCACCTTTTATTTTTTTATCTTAACTGATTTGGCAAATAGCATTCATTTCCCAGACTGCTCAGGAGCCAATACGTGAGGTGGCAGTTGATGGAGACTCCTGGTGCTCAGATTACGTAACTCAGCTCGGTTCTAACTGTTCGTTCATTCTGAGATAAATTCTCCTGCAGTCCAACCTGATCTCAAACTCATTGTATTGCCATGACCTTGAGCTCTCTGATCCTCCTGCCTCCGCCTGTCACTGTGCCTGGTTTTAAGGAGTGCTGAGAACTGGGTGCTTGCTAAGCAAGCACTAGACTAGCTTCAGCTCTTTGTTTAAAATCTACCACTGTGTTCCGTAATTCCAGGGCCTTCCTCCCTATTTCCTTGATTCCCCAGATCAAGACGACATTCTAATATCTAGAATTGTTTCAGCCACAAATAATTTTTCTGTTTCTCTTCTGGAAATGTGACAAAAGTCTATGAGTATGCAAGCTTTGTACCATCCCACATTAAATCAAACCCTGGGATGTGATCCACCCTCACCTTGCCCATAACTGAGAGACAAAGTGGGTTTTTTAATTACCTAACCCTATAGAACCATGAAAACAAGAGTGCCAGACCCGGTTTATAACAGGGACAAGAAATTTTTGATGAGGGTGTACGCTCACGCAGCTGAGCCAGACTTTATGTCTGGTCATGTGAATTTAATAACTAAACCTGGTACCCCTTCCAGAATGAACATAAAGTCATTTAAAACCACCACATCCCAATAGCATCTCTTGCCTTTAGATAAATATTCTAAACATGTGGCTTAAACCATTTGGGGTTGTCACACACAGAACTGTTGTCTTGATATTTGTTTTGTACATGGTTGCCAATGGGTGAGAAGTAGGGGGTTGGGAGAATCACACAGGCATCGAGTGTGCTGCAGGATTCATGGTCCTACCATCTCAGACTCCCCAGATAAATCATACGAAGAGCTGAGGGGAAGTGAGGAGAGAGAAGCAGAAGCATCCAAAGCTGGCCTATCCAAGCATCACTGGGGGCGCCAACTAGAATACCAGGCCAGGGAAGCTCTTGTGATCAGAATCTTGCATTTCAGAGGCAAAACTTGAATACCATCAGTCAGGAGTGGTTCCGAGTGTCCAGCAGGAAGTTATCTAGCCCCGAGGCCGTGGCTGCCTACCTCCTCGAGGTCCAGCCTCACTCTCCACATCTTCTGAAGCTACTTGTCAACTTGGCTGACCGGAGTGGGAACACAGCCCTTCACTACAGTGTGTCACACTCCAACTTCGCCATCGTCAAGCTCCTGCTGGACACAGGTCAGAAATGGCTGTTACAATCTGTCCCTCCCTGAAGGCCTACCTCCTTGTTCTTATAAAATGGGGTCTTTTTATATTTCCCAAGCTATTCCTGAACTCCTAAACTCAAATCATTCACCTGCCTCAGTCTCCTGAGTAGCTGGCACTACAGTAAGGGTCTTTTTGTATCATATTTCCTTCTCCTACAGAATTCCTCTTGTAGTCCAGGAACAGAGCCAGGTCATTTGCCTGATATTTTTAATTTTTTTTCTTATTTTTTTTAAGACAGTGTTTCACCAGATAGCTCAGGCTCTCCTGGAACTCACTATGTAGACCAGGCCAGCCTCAAACTCACAGAAATCCACCTGCCTCTTACTATGGAGTGCGGGGATTAAAGGCATGTTTGGTTGTTACTGTTGTTTTGTTTTGGTTTGGTTTGGTTTTTTAAGATTTATTTATTTATTTTATGTATGTGAGTACACTGTCGTTCTCTTCTGACACACCAGAGGAGGGCACTGGATCCCATTACAGATGGTTGTGAGCTACCATGTGGTTGCTGGGAATTGAACTCAGGTCCTCTGGGAGAGCAGACAGTGCTCTTAACCGCGGAGCCATCTCTCCAGCCCCTAGTTTTTTTTAATGTGGAAATCTTCACAGGTTTGTATGTCTTCCTTGCACAGGACCTGTACTGATCTCTGCGTTGTTTCATCTTAGTAGATGCACAGCTGGAGCAAGCCAACTATAGTGGCTGCTAAAAATGTAAGCTATGGGAACACTAATCTACAGTGGTTTAGCTAGCAGGCAGCGTTCTGTTGAACCGTTGAGGAGCAGCCTGGCTCCACCTCAGCAGTTCCAGCACCCATTCCTTCCCTTGCAGGTGTCTGCAATGTGGATCACCAGAACAAAGCAGGCTATACTGCTGTGATGATCACTCCCTTGGCTTCTGCAGAGACAAAAGAAGACATGGCTGTTGTCTGGAAGCTCTTGCGGGAAGGGAATGTGAACATACAAGCGACTCAGGTAGGTGGAGAGCACTTGATCTCTCTGCTCCTTGACAAGCATAACAGCCTCCAGTTTTATTCTGCCAGTATGGTGAGGAATTCCATGTAGATCCATGGAGAGTTTTCCACTTCAGAACGCTGGGGTCCCCAAATGGCATCTATCCAAAGCTCCAATGCTTGATTTTCCTTAAAGGCTCTTGAGACCTAGACAGGATGGCACAAGGTTTGTGTTCCAGACTAAAACAGGGCAAATTCCATCTGGACTTAATCTCTGCAACCAGATTTCAAATGTTAGTTAGCCTTTTGGGAAGGGCTTTGCTGGTTGGATGCTGCGGTCAGTGACTTTGTGAGTGACTCAACAGATCTTGACCTAGGACACTTAGGAAGCTTAATACTTTAGAGTTATTACCAATCATGTCCTCTCTTCCTAGTGTGTTTTTTAAAAAGATTTATTGTTGTTGTTGTTGTTGTTGTTGTTGTTGTTGTATTTTTGAGACAAGGTTTCTCTGTGTTTACAGCCTTGGCTCACTCCATAGACCAGGCTGGTCTCAAACTCAGAGATCTGTCTCCCAAGTACTGAGATTAAAGCATGTGCCATCATATCTGGCTATTTTATTATTTTTAAGTGTAGCTGTGTCTACACTAGCCCATGGAGGCCAGAGGTGTCAGATCACCAGGAACTGGATTTATAGGCAGTTGTGAATATCCCCAAATGTACGCTAGGAACCAAATTCATATCGTCTGTTAGAGCAATCTATACTTAACTCTATATCTCCAGTTCCCCAAAGCATTTTTAATAGAGTCATCAATCTCCATCAGACCAATGGAGAGTTTGGGTAACAGAGTAGGTGGGAGCTAGTATCAGTCACTTATTCCCAGACCTGGGGCTATGAAGATCCCTGCCTTCCAGGCCTCTTCTAACCCAGAGGGTTACTGTAGAATTCTGCTGCAGCTGAGCAATATGCCTAGCATACCTCTTTGGTCCTTGTACTAACTGGGTCTTAAATCACTTCTGTCTTTTCTTACTTCCTTGTCCTCTAACCAGAATGAGTGAGTGATACCTGAAGTAAGTCACTTATAATGTAGTGGCAATGGATGCTTGCCTAGTATGTTTGAAAGCCTGGGTTATTCTCAGGGATTTATACAAAAGAACCTTTTACCTGGGCTCATGGTTTCAGAGGCGTCAGCCCATGGCTGCTTGGCTGAATTGCTTTTTTGCCAGTAGTGAGATAGAATGTCATGGAAGGAACACACAGTTGGGAAATTTGTTATTTCATTGCAGAAATAGGAAAAGAGAAGAGGAAGGGAGGAAGAGATGGACACACACACACATACAGAGAGAGAGAGAGAGAGAGAGAGAGAGAGAGAGAGAGACTATGAATATATCTGTAGTCCTAATATCCCCTTCAACTGCTACCCTCAGTGAACATACTTGTTCCCACTAGACCCCAAGTTTCAGGATCCACCACACCTCCCAATGGTTCCACAGACTAGGTAACAAGCCTTTACCATATGAAGATACTTGTCAGCAAGCCACAGTAGTTGTATTATAGGGAAGAAGCCCTGAATTTGAAGAACCTGAATCTTTTATAGGAGGCAATAAACCAGACCTGTCCTAGGAGACACAGACTCTTCAAAATCTGTTTGCTGTGTAAACATACTTTAAAAGAGCGTCTGGGGACTGGAGATGTGGTTTGTTGGTTAAGAGCATTGGATGCTCTTCCAGAGGACCCAGGTTCGATTTCCAGTATTCACACGGCTGTTCACAACCATCTATAACTCCACTTCCAGGGAATCTGATGCCTTCTCCTGTCCTCCCTGAACACAGACCCAAATGCAGGCAAAACACATAAAACAATAATAGTAAAAGTGTTTAAATATTTGTGTTGAACTCTACTCTTCTGGGAGTGAGCTGAGAGTCTCTGAGGGAGGGATACATCTTCATATCTCCAGGGTCACTCCAGGATCTGATATATACTTTTGGAAGTGACCAATTACTGAACCAAGTTGTATAAATCTAGACCAGAAGAAAGATGAGGAAGAAGAGCCCCAGAGTTGAGCAGAGGGGCAGATAAGAAGGCTCTCTGCAGTGGCACCTGGCTTTAGGGGAGAGGAAATCTCAAGACTAGTTAATCCAGTGAGCAACCATCACCTCGAGGTTAAGTAATCACACTCCCAAAGGCAAACAGCCATCTCTGGAGAGACCTATCTGGATTCCAGAGAAATGGGGGCTCAGAACATCTAGTAATTCCTACACTCACTAACTAAGCAACTGCTATACACTGTCATCTGTAACCCCCCAGAGAGATAATGGCAGTGGACACTTACCTCCTTTGCTAAGCCCTTGGGTCTTTCCTCAGCCCCACAAGGCAGGTTGTGTATTAACACTCCCAGTCCTCCTACATCAGGAGAGGGTGCAGAGATGAACTCGTGTGTGTCTAGTCCACACAAGTGCTGTGTGGTAGAGCCAGGAAGTTTCAGACTGCAAAGCTTCTTTATTATGGCCAAGGTGATTGAAACTTACACCAGCAACACGTCCTCCGTGCTTTTGACATGAAAGACATCGTTTAGAGCAGCAATTCCCAACCTGTGGATCACAACCCCTTTGGGGTAGATTGACCTTTTCACAGGGGTCATCTAAGACCATTGGAAGACACAGATATATACATTATGATTCATAAAAGTAACAAAATTACAGTTATGAAGTAGCAACAAAATAATTTTATGGTTGGGAGTCAGGACAACATGAGAGACTGTATAAAGGCTCAAAGCCTTAGGAAGGTTGAGGACCACTGGTTTAAAGCCACAGGGGATCTGGAGGGAGAGAAGGCATAGACACTGTCTTATTCTTAGGAACCTGATATCCCATTAGAGAGATAAGCCTGACTGTTAAACTTTAAAAAGTTTGGCAAAATACAGTAAGTCATAGAGTAAGGCTGTAAGAAAACAGGAATATATAATAGACTGGTGCAAATAAGAAATAAACGTCACTTTATAGTCAGAAAAATAGCCACCTCATGTTACTGTATTTATAGACTTTATCTCACTCAATTCTCTCAAGAGCCACCCACATAAAGCACACAGGAAAAATAATAAGATGCATTTTCAAGCACAGAAAAACCAAGATTGGGGGAAACAGGAACCTGGCATGGTCACATATTAAATTGCAGAGACAGATCTTGGGTTGATTCTCCGAGTCTAACCCATTGCTATGCCCACTGATGACCATGGGAATATAAAAGATAACCATGCTGTCACTGGTCCCAGGTTAGAAACAATATGGGGTCTTCAAACAGAGGTCTTGTTGAGACAAGAAGGTTCTGAGTGTCCTTACACAAAACTGGAGAGGCACAGAGCAGACAGAGGCTTCCCAGAGAAAAGAGGCACGGGTTAAAGCCACAGCCATCATCCACTCCATCAGTCCCTGCTTTCCATCACATACTTGGTGCTAGGCCTTGGGGAGACTCATAGGAAACCCACAGCCCCTGGGGGTGGTCCAGTAGCAGAGCATTTGTCTAGCATGTGTGGTGCCCCGAAGTTAATCCTCTGTACTACAAAGAGTAAAAGCAAATAAGAGAAGTCCCCAGCGTCAACTTCTAAGCCCCTAAGAGTAAAGGAAATTGGGAAGCAATCAGTACGTGCTCTGTGATACTGCCCATGCTGGAAAGCCAGGCAAGGCTTTGGAACGGGCAAAGGATTTGACTAGAGTCATGGGAAAGCAGAAGTTAGCCAGAAAGAAAAGGATGTGTCCCATGTCACAGGCAGAGGGAAGATCTAATCAATGGCCTTCCCCTTGAGAAGTTTTGCTCCAGCCTGTGCCTGTCACTCTATGTGCAGGGAGGCCAGACTGCATTGATGTTAGGAGTCAGCCATGACCGGGAGGACATGGTCCAAGCACTACTGAGCTGCCAGGCAGATGTCAACCTGCAGGACCATGATGGATCTTCTGCCCTCATGCTGGCCTGTCACCAAGGCAACGCCGACCTGGTACGACTGCTCCTGGCACATCCAGCCTGCAACAGCAGCCTGACCGACAAGGTAAGATTTACAGGCAGTTAACCAGTAGGTATTTAACACCTGTCCTGAAAACTGTCTTGTCAGCCATCAGAATTCAGGAAACCATATGGCCATAGCAATAAAGTCAACCTCGTAAGGCTGGTGCAGGCTTTATATACGATAATGAGTAGTAAATAGTCATAGCCTCGGTGCTGTGAAACTCACAAGATTAAAACACTGTGCTGGGGAAATGTGTCCAGGGCCTGATTTGGCCCTGAGCCTCCACTGGCAAAACCAGCAACTTGGATGGGATAGTTCTGTGTCCAGGGGAGACTCTGAGAAGCCAGATGATGATATAAAATTTATAGAGACAGGGCTGGAGAGATGGCTCAGCGGTTAAGAGCACTGACTGCTCTTTCAGAGGTCCTGAGTTCAAATCCCAGCAACCACATGGTGGCTCACAACCATCCGTAATGAGATTGGATGCCCTCTTCTGGTGTGTCTGAAGACAGCTACAGTGTACTCACCAATAAAATAAATAAATAAATATTAAAAAAAAATTTATAGAGACAGCTCTGTAGTCATTAAACTGACAATACCTCCACGACACAGATCTAATTCTGCCAAGAGAGCCTGCTTAATGTTGCACAGTCAATGATAGTGCTCTCAGATGACAGTCCCACACTGCCCAAATGGTAGAATCCAACTCCACCCTAAGCTCATGCCCATGACTGATGCACCATCTCTCTACTGTCCCACCGCAGAGGCTCAGCCTTGCTGCTGAATCCCTCATATGTAAGAGAGCGCTTGCCACAGGTCAGTGACTCACTAAGAATTGAATGAATGAGCTCCAAACTTGAGGATTCAGTCACAACAAAATGACCACGTTTCTGATCATTACAGTGGGTCACATTTCTAGAGCACTTGGGGGGCTCGTCTTCGACTAACCATCATCCCTGCTCTAGCCAAGAATACAGAAAGCAATTTTTTTTTTTCGAGACAGGGTTTCTCTGTGTAGCCCTGGCTGTCCTGGAACTCACTCTGTAGACCAGGCTGGCCTCGAACTCAGAAATCCACCTGCCTCTGCCTCCCAAGTACTGGGATTAAAGGCGTGCGCCACCGTTGCCCGGCTCAGAAAGCAATTCTTTGAGCAGAGGTTCAATCTCAGGCCTGACTCTAGTATCATTAATGTTGTCATCATGATTTAACTCTATAATCTGTCGTCTTTCTACTTAACATCAAAGTTCAAACAGAATGAAAGTCTAAAGAGGGAAGGAGAGGCCATTGCTATGCAAGGACAGCGCCTCTTCCTGGATGCTGATGGGGCCGCAGGGGTGATTGTCAGCTAGCCGAGCTGAAGCCCACGGTCAGAGCTTCTGTACACCCCTGCCTCCATTTCTGAGTACTTCAGAGAGCACAGACCCTCTTGTCTTTACACGGAATTAGAATAGAGGATCAGGGAGTGGAGTCTCCATTTCCAAACATGTAGTGAGACAGAGGCTCTGTGTTAAGGAGGCCTCTGTGAGCTGCCTTAATCTGGAGTAATCCTGAACAAGAGTAGCCCAGAAGTGATTACTGCTCTTGCCCGGAAAAGGCCCGCGAAGAGACACCTATGGGAAAGGCCAAGCAGGCCTGAACCTTGAGGTCCCTGACTGGTCAGAATAATAAACCAGGAAATGGGATCCCCTCTTGGGCCCACATGGTGGTCACAAATAAGAGAGAACTACGTGGCTTTCTGGAAGTAGAGGAAAACCATGAGGAAGACAGCTTAGCTATGACTGTTAGAACTGACTTTAAACTCAGCATTCATGAGTTTGAATCTGAGTTCAGGAACTGTGTGCCTTCTGATAAGCGAATAGATCACCCTAAGTCTCTGTATATATCTGTAAAATGGGTATAGCAATGAGTTACCCAAATGCTTGGTGTTTTTAAGCCATACCTGCTGGCTGGAACTGTGACACTTAGAGCAAAGTCCCAAGTATATCAGCAGATGGGGGCCTTGGCATTTGTCTTCTCTGGGTAAGGAGGATAAAGATCTGAAGTCAGGAAAGTCAAAGGAGGGAGACTGGCCCCCAACTGAGAAGCCAGTTGGCCACTAGTCTTAATTCAGTCTCCTGGTCCTCAGAAGGGGTGACATTGCCATTCAGAGGAAGTTTGGTAGTGTCTGGAGACATTTTTGTTTGTTGCAAGTAGAGGAGAAAGTGCTGCTGGCATTTAGAGCCAGGGTGTTGATAAACACCTGAAGTGGGCAGGAACAGTGAAGAATTATGAATTCCCTGGACCAAACCAGATGTGGTCGCTCACACCTTTTATCTCAGCACTCAGGAGGCAGAGGCAGGTGGACCTCTGAGTTCAAAGCTAACTTGGGCCAAAAGCAAGTTCCAGGGGAACCAGGGCTACACAGAGAAACCCTGTTTTTTGTTTTGTTTGCTTGCTTGTTTGTTTGTTTGTTTGTTTGTTTGTTTAAAAAAACTGGGCAAAGGTTTGGGGCAGGGAGAGGCAGGGCAGCACCAAGGAGCAGGCCATGCAGAACAGGGCCTGAGCCCAGTGCTGAATGTGGAGCTGAGCTGGAAGGGCAAGCCAGTCAGTGTGGTCTTGTACAGTACTTGTAGGAATCACCCAGGGTCCAACCACACCCTGTCCTCCTGGGTCACGCCTGACTGAGGATTCCCACTTCAGCTTCTTCAGAGCAAGGGAGAGTACATGGTTCCTAGCAGCTGTGGGAGAGGAGAGCCGGTGAAAGGAGAGCCATTGATGAGATCCACCAAAGACCAAGGCCGTATACCTGATGCCAGCTCTCATCAGAACACTGTCATCCCAGCAACCACCTGCCTCTGGAGTCTCAGATGTCCACAGCACAGCTCTCCTGGAGACTCATGTGGAGAGAGATTCATGTTCAGAAATGGTTTTCTCTCATCCACAAAGTTCGATAAAAACTACAGAGACCTGCAGGAACTTTCCTTAGGCTTAGGAGTCAAGTGGGTGTCAGGAAACTGCTATGCCTTCTCTGGGGACCTTCAGCATGACAAGGAGTGTAGTGAGACCTGAGCACCGGTTGCCAGCTTCTCCCTGGGAAGGGTTTATCTGGAAGATATTTCAGAATATCCGTCAAGTGGGAATGTTTCTGAGACAGACATTATGTCTTGATCTTCATTACCTGATATATAATAGGTTCATGATGAGTTCTTATCTATTGAAATACACTGAAGCACACACACAGACACACACACACTGAGGAAGCACACACAGAGATGGACAGATAGGCAGACACACACACACAGAGAAGCAGACACACAGACACACACACCGAGGCAGTTACACACACACACTGAGGCAGTTACACACACACACTGAGGCAGTTACACACACACATGAACACACACACATGCATGCACGCGCGTGCACACACACACAGAAGCACACACACACATGTACACACACAGAAGCACACACACACACAGGCAGGCATACACACACACACAGGCAGGCACACACATAGGCAGGCACACACACACACAGGCAGGCACACACACACACAGGCAGGCAGGCACACACACACAAACAGGCAGGCACACACCCATCTGTGCAAGTCCTCCACTCTTCGGCTCACAGTCGAGTGCATGCGGAGCTGCAGTGTTGTTGAGTAGGGCTCACTAGATCCAGCTAATGCAGGAGCCTCCGTGTGTCCTTCCTTCCCCAGACTGCAGGAGATACTTACATTTAGGAGACACTCTCCCTGCCTAGGTGGTCTCTTTCTCCCACTTCCCATCCTCCATGTCTTCAGCTGAGACGCCAACAGATGGAAGCTGTTACCTCCAGATGGATTCTGTCAGAAAATGCATAGCCTCTGGGACTGGCCCTGTGGCACTTTCCCATGGAAACAGTCACCACACACTCTGTTTACATAAAGCTCTGGATGGCGAAGGCCAGCTTGGAACACAGAGTAACGATAGCCCTCCCTCTCTCCCAAACAAGTAGGATTCCCTGATGAACAGTCCCTTCCCCTCAACAGTGCATGGACTCCCTGCTTTAAAACCTGTACCTTGTTCCAGATTTGCTCAGTCGAAGAAACAATTCCTCAGGATTGCTTGGTTCCTTTATCAACTTGAACCAAACATCTCTGCCTCTGCAGTCCAGCTTCAACAATGCTTAGGGCTGAGCAAGGCCAGGCAGACCACCTATGCCAGGATGCAGCAGGGACCAACCCAGACAGCTCCTGAGCTGGGGGGGGGGGGGGGGGAAGGGGGGGGGGGGGGGGGGGTGGAGGGGGGGGAGGGAGGAAGGGAGGGAGAGAAAGAGAGCGAGAGAGGGAGGGAGGGAGAATAGAACTGACCACATGACTTAGCAGAATCCAGTCTAAATAGAAAAGAGCAGGGAAGATGGGCAGCAAATTCAAGGCTAGCCTGGGATGCTCCTCAGGTCACAGTTTCGAAAAAAAAAAGCAAGAGCTGGGGAGATGGCTCTGAGGCTAAGAGTATATACTCCTCTTGCAAAGGATGCTCAGCTCCTAGTCCCCACATCAGTGACTCTAAGTCCCAGGGGTTCCAACTCTGTGAAAACCCACACTCATGTGCGCATACTCCACACACACACATGCAATATTAAAAATGAAACTAAGAAAAGAAGGAGGAGGAGGAGGATGTAGCTCAGCTGGTAGAAAACTGTCCTAGCATGCCAGAAGCTACCCTGGTCGAGCCCCAGTACCACACTAAATTGGGTGGTGGCATACAGGCCTGTAACCTCGGCACTCTAGAGGTGGAAAAAGGAAGATCAGGAGTCCAGGTCATCCTTGACCTCAACTAGTTCCTGGCCACCCTGGGCTATGAGAGCCTGGCTCATGACGACAGCAGTCCTCCTCCCTTGGAGCCCTTCCTACCCTCAGTTCTTTCTCTGCTGCAGAACTATGAATGGTTGTTGGGGTTCATCCTGCTGCAAAGGGGGAAGCCCGAAGAACTTGACATGTTAACATATCCCACCTGCTCCTATGAAAGATGTACCACATTTCAGGAAGTTAATTTGGCATGTACACAGTTACAGTAAGAGCAAAACGGGCAATAAGCATCATAGATAGGCTCAGGCTGGGTTTTACCTGTCAGTTAGTCACCAAAAGAAGTATAGTTTTCAAAGTCATTTAGCTGCTTCAAAAGAAAGCAAAAACTGGAGAGATGGCTTCGAGTCTAAGAGTGTATACTCCTCTTGCAACGGATCCAAGTTCAGCGCCTAGTCCCCACAGCAAGTGGCCCACAATGTCTCTAAGTCCTAGGGCTTTTCAGAATGCTGGCTGTGGGGATTGTGCCCACTCATAAGAGACTGGCTGTCCCTGTGGAGCTCATCCTCCACACCTAGATATGTGGGCTTTCCCTCCATCTCTGTACAGCAAGCAGCCCTTTCTAAGAACCCCACAGGTCCAGCTTCTTCAGACCGCAGGACTCACGAGCTCTTTGCACAGTGAGTGGGTTGTGCAGTGGAGAAAGTGCTGAAGTGACTTCAAGTCAGGAACTGTCAACACGAGCAAGTGCTGCGAGCTCGCTTCTGGTCCTAAGGAAACAATCAACAATGGGAGGGTGCTGGGATGGAAGCGTGAAGACCTGAGTTCAATCCCCAGAACCCACAGCGGGGGGGGGGGGGGGGGGGGGGCCGCCAACCTCCGGGCATTGTGGCACACACTTGTGATGGGGCTCATTGACCAGCTAGCCTTGCCTACTTAGCAAGTTCCAGGCCAGTGGGAGAGCCTACCTCAAAATGAACAAGGTAGACAGTACCCGAGGAACAACACCCTGTGTCGAGCTCAGGGTTCTACGTGCACATGTGCACATGCACAGTTCTCTCTCTCTCTCTCTCTCTCTCTCTCTCTCTCTCTCTCTCTCTCTCTCTCTCTCTCTCTCTCTCTCCATGCACGCACGCACACACACACACGCACACACTAGGAGAAAATGCTTTTTTCAGTGAGTTTATGACCGTGGACACATAGAAACAAACAAGCTTCCAAATAGTGGAAAATTTCTGGCATATTATGGGCTGTTTTAACAGCCTATAAGACGACATGCATTCTGAACAACGGGGAAGCATCTCCTAGCATACCACAGTAATTTATAATAAAGGGGGATTCTAGATAAATGTGTACCCCTATTCCACTACTTTACAACCAACAACAGGTTTGCACAGGAGGGTGCAGAAAGAGAACACACCAAAAGGCTAATGTTCATTTAGATCTGTGTATTTAGAGAGGGAAGGTTATTTTCTTTCCTGTGTTTCCCAATTTTCTTAAGTGTTAAGGGTCTGGCAACCCTTTCTCTGTTCTCACTCTCACAGGCTCCCCAGGACAGAGGGTGTCTCCTGCATTAGGGACCTTCATGTCTCATAGTCCCATTTCTCATGGCCAGTGCCATCTGAGTCACATCCCCTCCTGGGTCACCTGATGTTTCTAACATCCTTCTCAACAGTAACCCCACTCTTCCCACTGAGTGACGAGACAGATAGGGTGATTTTTATTTCTTTCTTCCCTGCAGGCTGGCCGAACAGCTTTGTCCATCGTTCTGAATTCACCTGCCCACGTGGAAATCGCAGAGCTTCTGCGGGCCCACTCGGAGCAGGGCAGGTCTCTGGGGCTGAAGGAGCTGCAGAAGAATTAGCGGGCAGGAACAAAAGATTCCTTTTCTGGACTGCCCCCTTGTCCTTAGAGTGGGCCCCGGGTCACAACCAGAGGGCCACCAATCAAGACAGAAACTATGTCAAGTATGCACAATACATTCCCGTCATATAATTCTGCTCATTAGGATGCTTGGTAGTGTTTTGCCTTAGGCCAAGCCCCCAAACTACATGGGGTTCAGAGCAGGGTGTGAGGTGCAGAGTGCAGGCTGCAGTTCAGCTTTGAATTCCTCATGATGTCATCTTTGGAGTCCTGTGTAGCAGGCAAGTAGTAAGGGCACACTTGCACAGTAGAAAAAGCAATATTTTTACATGGAGTTTTCAAGCACACTGTCTTTTTGTTTTTAATCAAGTATGAATACAAATATGTCCCAGTGAATATGCATGTCTAGAGAGAATGGCAGAGGACTCTAAATTTGGGCAAAGTAGGACTAAGCCCAGTGATGTCAGTGCCAGGGTGTGATGTTTCTGAGTACCCCAGGGGCTCCCATTCCCTCTATGGAAGTAAGCAGAAAACCAATCCAATGGTTAATACTATGTGCATGCTTGAGAGAGTCCAGTTATTTCACACCATTCCCAACCTATGAGAGAAGCAAATGAATTGGCCAGCTTCTTGCTAGGAATGGGTCCTCATTGTAGAAGTCAACATCATTCTCCCGTCTCTAGAGGCACAGGGCCCCTATAAACAGGTACCAGCTCTGAGAACTTCCTGGCTCCTTGCTGCACAAACATCCAGCTTAGGCTGCAGTAGCAGCCAGCCAGGACAGGATAGAGCTTTTTCTCTCCCAGAGATAGTTCTTTCTTAAGTGTCCATATCCCCTGGGTCCTTCATTTAAAAGGCTCATAATCAGAGCTCTGAAAGTTTCATGCAAACATATATATTATATATATATATATATTTCCAGCGGTTAAGGGTCCTGAGTTCAATTCCCAGTAACTACATGATGGCTCACAACCATCTGTAGTGGAGTCTGGTGCCCTCTTCTGGTGTATCTGAAAAGAGCAATGGTGGTGTACTCATATGCATAAAATAAATAAAATTTTTTTTAAAAAAAGAAGAATGTCAAAATTGGTAACCTGAACACTGAAAATGCTAAATCAAGAATTCTCATTTGGGCTGGAATGTCTATTTGCTTGGTACCCCTTGGCTAAGTCACAAAGCCTTTGTGAGTACCAGCTTCTTCATCCCCTAAGTGAAAGTGATCATACAACCTACCTCTGGGAGTCTCCTTAAGAAACAGCTTGTAAAAGTTTTGGAATCCAGATGATAACCCTGAGAGGCCTTCTTCAGAAATTCTGCAGTGAAGTCCTTCCCACAATGTGATTCGCGAGAGATGCCTAAAATCCCCTCCACAGATGCTGCTTAGAGACAGAAAGAATGGCGAGACAGACGAGATTCAAAAAAATGCTTTAAGAGGATTTACTCCAATGTCAAAATGCAATGTAAAAGCAAACACATACTTTAATAAATGTTAGCTCCGTGCTTTGCAAAGGTTAATGCATATCCAGCTCCAGGGATCTTGTTATGTCTGAAACGAGGACGGAGGTTCTGTGTGTCTAACTGGGCCCAGAGGATGCCAATGTGGTTAGGCCAAAGTCATGCTTCGAGCAGCATAGCCCTGGCCTGTCCTTTTGGTTTATAAATTAAAATGTTGCCTCTCAATTGGTCTCAAGATTTCTTTGCTCTTGATTCTTGGGAACTTGCAGTGCAGGCCTGTATTAGCTAATTTCTTTTTGCTATGACAAAAATACCCAAGGAAGGATACTTAGGAAGAAAAAAAAGGTATTTATTAGTCCAAAGTTTTGGAATCTAATTGGCATGGTTGGGCATCTGGGGAGGCCTATGACAGATGGCAGGAGCTTGCCTAGAGGAGGAAGAGATCACGGCTGGGTATAGAGAGCATAGCAGCAGGGTGAAATCAGAATTTTGAGCAGTGACCTTGTGACTCTGTTGTGTTGCTCTGGATCCCAAGAGAGATACTTTAAATACCTGTTGACAGTACGTCCCCAGTTGATAGCATACGTGCTCCTTAAAGCTTGGCCCTTCCCAGTGCTAGGATAGGTAGGGGATGACATCCTGTAGAAACCATCACAGCCAGAGGGTCATCGAACCCCAAGGAAGCCAGGGTGTCCTAGAGGGAGCCGTGGGGTTGCAGATGTGGCAGGAGTACAGGCACATGGCCCCACACGAGAGGACTTCAGACGACCTCAGTGTCAGTCCGTGGGGGAGGAGATTTGAGAGAGAAGACACATGGTCTTGTTTGTTGTATTTTGATATTAGAGATTTGGACTTGAGCCAATCTGAGTGTCTCACAGATTATTTTAAGAATTTAAACTCCTTTCAGAAAAACACACGTACGCACTTAAGTCCTACTCTTAAAATCCTACTGCTGTGGACTCAGCGTGTAAAGAGGCTTGCTCCCAAGCCTGATGACCTTAGTTTGCTTCCGAGGACCCACACGTTGGAAGATGAGAACCGATTCGAGTGAGTTGTTCATTTCTACCTCGACTTGATCATTCAGTTCCCGGATAAAAGACACAACCTTTAATTTATAATACGCCTTTATCAGCACTAAAGCTGGGCAGATATCTACCCTCTATGCTGTTAGAATTTACGTTACTATCGATAACTCTGAGTTATTACTATGTTCTATCTGGGCTACTCTTAAGTCCAATTGGCCAGTCCTCATGGCCATGATTTTCAAATTCTTACCCCATGGTGTCTTCTCTTCTCTCCCCTTCCTCTTTCATCCTCATGAACCCCTCAGACCCCAAGCCAGAGAGCCCCAAACCTCACCTATCTCAATTCTGTCCACCTATAGACTGTGGGCATCCTTATCCTCCAATCAGGGATAACTTGGGAGTCAAGGTCTCACATCATCACTTGGGTCTACATGCAGACTCTCTCATCCCTGGGGTAACCAGGCTTTGGGGGCCAGTATTTAGCATTACCATATAAGCAAACGACCAAACCTCAAAAGAAATGTAGCTGAAGGATACAGCACTTGTATGTTTGAGGCTCTTGGGTTCCTTTCTGGCAAGGGAGGGAGAGGCATTACTAGAGAGAGTGGGAGCCATTGAAGAATTTCTAAACACTGAAGCCATCCAATCAGAAGTGAGACTAGAAGCAGGAGCAGCAGTTGAGAGTGTCTTCTGAGCCCCTGGGTATAAAGCAGTAAGGCCTTCTGGGAAAGGCACCGGGAATGAGGGTGTACCAGAATGTGGTCACAAACTGAATAATAAGAGTTGGTGTCACCAGTATCCTCAATACCATTCTACTCTGCTTCCTTAGTTATAGGGTCTCCAACTCACTACCAAGGGCAGAGACTCCACTTCCCAGCTTTCTTTTCAATTTGCTATGGCTTCTTAACTACACATGGATAGTGGAATAGGTTCAAGGTTATGTGTACAGACTTCAGGCAAAGGGAAAGGACATGCACTGTCCCTTCTTCATTGGCCAGGATGCTGTAGCCATCCAGTGTGATCCATAAAGATGAGGCTAATGCCCCCCAAACAGAACAGGAGTCAGAAGGAAATGGGGTCCAGTTACACCTGCTCGGGGCTGCTTATTCCTCCTTTGACAAAATACAAAAGTCTTCTCATCCAAAAGTAAAGCATTGTCCACTGGGACCCCTCCTGAAATAGATAACATCCTTGAGACCTCATGACAGTCCAAAGGCATCAGGGTAGAAAAGCTGTTCTGATGTTGAGAATTCTAGAGGCAGAGGCAGGCAGATCTCTGGGTTCTAGGTCACCCTAGTCTACAGAAGAAGTTCCAGGATAGCCAAGGATACACACAGAAACCCTGTCATGGGGAAAAGGAAAGGAAAGGGAAGGGAAGGAAAGGGCAAGGGCAAGGGCAAGGGCAAGAGCAAGGGCAAGGGCAAGGGCAAGGGCAAGGGCAAAGGCAAGGGGAGGCAGGGCAAAGCAAGGCCTTTCTATAAAAGCTTGTCTCCCATCTAGGTATCACGGAAGTCTATGATACGAGCCCCTGATCCACAGTGATGGTGGAGCTGCCAGCTCACAGCCATGAAGAAAGTGTAGACTATACCACCCTGGCATATTTCAGGATATGGTCTGTCCATGCCTGAGCAGTCAGTCTTTAAGCAAATCTGCTCTGAAAACCTGGGCAAAAGCACTGACTTGTCTGAGCAACTTGAGAGAACACAGCCTCCTGCAGCTGTAGTGGTTAGTGTGTAGGAAGGGACTGAAACCAGAAGGAAGTGCGATTCCAGGAGAGGGTGAATTTTTCATGAATAGAGGTCAAGGTGGTTAAAGGGAGGACTGAGGAGCCATGGTCGGAGAGCAGATGAGCAAAGTCTGCTGATGGAGTAGGTGGAGGATAGCAGGGAGGCCAGTCATCCTAGCCTGCATCACAAGGGCAGCCTACGGGAAAACTCACCCCTACCCCTTAAAATACAGACCCCAGTCACCACCTGAGCCACTCAGCTGTCTCCTAAGGACTCCAAGCTGGAGTAAATAGCTCCAGTCCCCCTGGTATCTGGGTTGTAATAGAAAGAGCTCTGAAGCCCCTAGTCATGCCTCAGACATGTGCTTGGTGCAAACATTCAGAGCAAAGCAAGATGAGAAAGCCAGGCCAACTTGTGCCATTAGGAAGATACCTGTAGATGCCTTCCCTCAAACACGGGAACTTTTCTGCTGGTATTTCTTCCCTCATCCCCTGTAGGTACACAGCATCATGACAGGAAGCAGCAAAGGCAGGTGTCAAGAGAACAGTCTGCTGCTCAATCCCAGCTATAGCGTGGAGACCAGAGCTTCCTTGGTCTTGGAAGCAGTTGGTACATGCACAATGGGCAGCCTCTATAACAGCACATGAAGAGTCAAGCTTGGGCTCTCCCTAGACCCTGTCTCTAACAATAGCAGCTTTCACTAGGCATAGTGTTACAGGTCTTTACTAGAGTGGCAGAGGCAAGGATAGATGGATCTCTGTGAGTTTAAGACCAGCCTGGTCTACATAGGGAATTCCAGGACAACCAGAGTAGTGAGAGTCTGTCAAAAAAAAACCCAAAAAAACAAAAAACAAACAAACAAAAAAACAAAAAACAACATCTTTTGGTTATGGAGCAGTTAGCTTTCTGTATCTGTGAGTTCTACATGTATAGATCCAGCCAATTGTGAATAATGATAATAATAAATACTAAGAATGCTTTTCATGTGTCCTGGACAAGACTTCTTGTTATTACTTCCAAAACAATACAGAGTGACAACAATTTAAATAGCATTTTCACTGCATTAGACCTAAACAATCTAGAGCTGGTTTAAACTACACGGACATCACTCTGATTTGAAGTCACACGCAAGTCCTTTCTTCAGGGCTGGAGAGATGGCTCAGAGGTCAAAATCTCGGATTTCTCTACTGAAGACCCGAGTTCAATTCCAGGCACCCGTGTAGGCAGGGTTCCTCCTGTACATCAGCTCCAGGGAGCCAAATGCCCTCGCCTGGTCACCTCAGGTACCTGAACACCTGTGAGCGTACACACACACACGCATACACACACACACACACACACAGAGAGAGAGAGAGAGAGAGAGAGAGACAGAGAGAGAGAGAGAGAGGTG